TTTTGTTTTCCCTTGATATTACCTTACTTTTAGCACTTATAAAATTCCACTTTCCCTCACTTATCAATCTCTTACTCTGAGACTGAAGTGTAACCAAATATATAGAATTATGATTTAACCCAAGTCTTCCCTGGAATCATGGAACTTATTTAGGCTGCTTTTCTTGTCCTCCACATTAAAAATCACCACTTTTGTTTGGCATTCATTACCCTAAAACCTCGTGTATTATTGTTGCTACTGCTAGTAGAAACTCTCGTGGAAGGAAAGCTTTGGCTGGTGTGTGGCAAACTTCACACCTCTGTAGAACAACAAGTGACACAAGAGTACACAAGGAAGTATGTTTCATGTACAATAAAGCCTAAATCTACATGAGAAGATTTGGGTTGTAAAATATAAATTTTCCTTACTGAATGACAGGAATAATTAAACATGGCATGAAAAATACACCCTAGGGGCTTCAGTGGATCTAGAAGGGGCTAATAGTTTTATTTCTCAAATTTTTACAGAGAAGACTGAGTCCTTGTACACTCCATCATACATATATATGAATATATATATTATATTCATATATATATGCCTGGAAGCTAATGGCTACTATTCTGATCACCTCTTATAATTGTAGAGGCTGAAGGTGACTTGTATTGATCTCATAATATCTCAGTAAATCTTGACCAATAGCATTCTTGCCCCACCCTCGAACTTCATGACCCTTCTTTCTCTTTGCATATGAGAAACACTGTTAGGTTCAGTCCACTGTACTTTTGTCTGAGGAAAATTGGAAAGTACAAAGTTAATATAACTCTGATATTAGTGACCTTGGACCATCTGGATCTAAATGAATTAACACTATTTTTAAATATTTGCTTTATCATGAGTCTGGAGCTGAAACTTTCATTTCTATTATGATTGCCTTAATATATTTTATATTAAGATAAAAATTCCTCAGATGTACAACTTGTGTTAATAGCTCAGGTTATAGAACTAAATTTTTAATCTTTTATTTATTTATTCGGTACAGGGTCTCATTACACATCTGAGCCTCACCAGCACTAAGATTACAGGCATGCGCCACCATGCCCAGTCTCAGTGGCGGGCTCAGTGCACCTCGAGCAGGGCCAGCACAGCATGCAGTACTGGGGATCAAACCCGGGTCTCTGTGCTTGCCAGGCAGGCATTTAGTCCACCCAGCTATCCCCCTAGCCCCTAGAACTAAGTTTTTAAATATGACATTTAATAATTTTTTCCCACATGCTAAGCAATATGATGGATGATCTTTGGGTTAAAAATTGACTTAAAAAAAATAGACCACATTCATTCTAAGGTTTGTGCCCTTAAAATGCATCAGTAATTTTTAAGGATTTCTGTTGTTTAGAATCGGCTGTGACGATTTGTCAGGCGGTCAGATGAAAACCGTAGGTGTGGATATAAATGAACCATGACTTTGTAGGGATGATGAAATGCTGCCTGAAATGCAAAACTTTTCTCACAAACCTTTGACATAAGGAACCCACCTGACCAAACCCTAAACAAATAACTTAGAAAAAATGTGAATTGATTTCATGGAGAAATATTTTAAAAGCACATGTATAGTATGTAGAAAAATCTCTGTGCTAGTTTATGGTCTTAAACTCTTAAAATTGCTGAATATTATTATTATAATACTATTATTATTATTTCTAATGATTTTTAGAGTGTACATATGTCCCTTTGGGAATGTATATGTGTCCTCAGCTTGATGCTACCCTAAGTGACTAACCATCAATCAACAAGTACTTATAGGGCCCTGCTAAGCTCAATGGTTGAGGGCCACTATGATTTTAGCAGCTAACATGAAATCTCAGAATAATCAGGGTATCTGTAGGACAGCTTCACAGTACCAAGACTGATACTATCCCTTCATGCTCCTGGGGTTCTCGTAACTTTATCATGACTCACACCAAAGACAACATGTAACTTATTATACTGCTTAAAAGTAGTTCACTCCTGGCCTGGCAAGATAGCTCTGCAGACTAAGCACCTGCTTAAGCAAGTGCAGGGACAGGGGTTTGATCCCCCATACCACATACTGCACTGGCTCTGCTCCCAGGTACACTGAGCTTGCTACCAAGTCCGGGTGTGGGGACTCACTCCTATAATCTCAGCGCTGGGAAGGCTGAAAACAGGAAGAGCACCACGAGTCCAAGCTGCATAGTGAAAAAGACCCTGTACCAAATACATAATTTTTGTTTTTAAAAAGTAGTTCATTTCCAAAGTTAAATTATGTTTAATGTATAAAGGTCTAAAGGTTAAATAATAAAATATACAATTGAATCCATTGTTCTGTTTTTAACTCAATAGCCTCTTATCTCAATGTACATTTCTTTTAAAGTCACTTAAGTTAAAAAAATAAAATAAAGTTACTCAAATTAATGAAGTCATGTATATTATATCATAAAGTTGGGAAACTTCTATACTGAAATTGAACCAGATATATCTTTCAAGTAAATTTTTTGCTGTCAGTTTTGAAAATGTTCTGAAGTTTTGTAGCTAACATTACGGTTTCTCTAAAGGAGCAGAAATTATCTGCTTTACCTCAAATTCTTAAAATAAGCTTACATAGTTCTACTTTCTTTAATGAAACATCACAATTAAGAATAAAGAGGTAAGTGAGCTTTCTACAATGTGCACAAATAATTCTCTCTAAACTTCATTATCACTGATGTCATAGATGAGTGATACAAAAACTTTCAATATATTTCAAGGAAAAAAAAAACTCGAGTTTCTAAATATCCAAAGTAAAAGATATGCATTTGTTTTGTTTTTAGCTTGCTTTGACTTTGTTTTAACTTTGAATACCAATGAAGTATTATTTTTTAAAAAAATCTCAGCATTCAGCTAAATATGTGTTTATTTTTAGGAACTTTCAGGAAATGAAGTGGTTGGATCTTATTTCTCTGTGAAGTCTTTCTTTTGGAGGGTAAAGTCTAAATCTTTTATATCAATGTTCTTGATTTTGGGGTTCTGAATATTGATTTTAATTATGAAATCCATTTTTTAAAATTGATTCCAAGATAGATGTCTTCTGTGTTAAGCCACCTAGGCAACTAGCTCTTTCGTCTCTTCATTTGAAAAAGCATTAAGCACTTCATGTTCTTAAAGAACATATTACTTGAAGTCGGTTCTTTAGGACACCAAGTTTATCCCAAAGCCAAAGGCACAACAACTTTCTAACATCCGTGAAGGCTTTTTATTCCACTCTTAGAAAATTGGATTACTTTCTATCCCCTTCTGTTCAAGAAAAATTTATTGTATGACAGTGATCTTACATAACATACATCCTAGATCTGAACTATATGTTCAGTGCTCTTCCTTTAGAAAAAAAATTAGAAAATATTTCTGCCTCTGATTTAAATGAAGAAAAAATAAAAATTCAATGGGATTTGCCTTAAATACCATTGCCCTTTAGTTGACTCTTCAGTGAGTTAAGTATTAGGGGCTCTCTCATCCATTCTTTTTCCTCCACTGGAAACCGTGCTGAGCTTAATTCATTGCTAACTCACTCACCATAGATGTTGCAATGTCACTGCTGTCTTAGTCCTTTCCCAGTCTCCTTTCTTGGTTCTTAAAAAGCTTGCCATGGAAAACTACCTTTCTTCTTTAAGAGTTAAGATTTTCACTTTCCAGATAAAGCCATACACCACCCAGTGAACCAGTCCAAGCCTCACCCACTCATCCCTACCTGCCCCAACAAAGTGATCACAGTCTTTCACTCTTGTGACCTTATTTTACTGACCATGGCCCCCTAAGTTTCCTTTCCATCTACTCCTATCCATAATGACTTCCTTCACTGAAGTTATTTTACATCTTTGCTAAAATAATACCCGTTCCTTTTATGTGTTGGTGCATTGCCCATGAACACACAGGTTAACTGCTTTTGAATTCTTCCATGACTTTAAATTAAAAACCGATTTTGCAAAACAAAAATATTTAATAGTTCTCCTAAGACTAACATTCATGGTGAATTCACAGGGGACACCTACTCAACAGTAGAAGCTGGCAGTGTTCTGTGCTCTTTGTTCTCTGTGTAGCAAACATGCACGGTGGTCCCAGGGAGTGAAGTCTGGTCACCAGCCCCATCTCTTCTCTGCTGCCTTTCACAAAGTTGCCCTTCCAAAAAGCTCTTCCAATGCCTTCCTGACTTGCTGTTCCAAAATTAAAATTTCACCTCTCAGTACTCTCTCAGTAGTTGTGTTCATACTTCACTGTTCTTTAATAACCTTTCTTCATGCTCTTGAACTGTCAGATTTTAGAATAAGAAACATACAAGAATAAAATATAAAAGGTAGACTTTTTGTGTGTCCAAAGTCTACAGTGACTCTCTCAGAATACAACAAATGAGTGACAAATGATTAATTTTACCAGGGAGGAAACTAAGGCCCTGAGAAATGAGACTATAGTTCTCAAGGACTCAGATGACATGATCAGGACCGATATTTCTCTCCTGAATGTCAGACAAATAAATGACTTGGAGAACTTGCAGCAATAGGATTCCTCTCTTGGCTGATGAATGAATACCAATGTCCTATATAAATAGAGCCGCTCCTCTTTGAGGAATTGCTGCTTTTGAGGTATCATTTACAAAATGAGAAAATCAGTAGCCAACAGCAACTAGAACAACTGTTCCCTCACATGTTCATATTCAGAGGTCACTCTTATTGCTGAACTGCTGGCTGGCTTTTGACCCATGGAGTATTGCTAGCCCAGCGAACTTTTAGCAAAACGGCATATGAAAGAGATTTCTCGTGGACATTTCCAGATACACAAAAAAACCCTCACTAATGCAGATAAAATCTTTATTTTATTTATTTATTTTTTGATGATACCAGGGCTCATACTCAGGACCTTGCGCTTGCCAGACAAGCACTTATTCTACTGAGCTATCTCCCCAACCCATTGGGAATTAAAGAGGATATTATTTGAAAGAAATATTTATTGGTTTAATTCGTAAGGATCAATGCGTGTGTTGAAGAGATGGCACCTAAGTTATATGCAGTAAGACTAAGTCCTAGTGAGAACATGGTGAACACTGCTACTCATCTTACGAGCCAAATAATAGAAGGAAAATAGTAAAGTGATACAAGGATATTCTGCTTTTCCCAAAGCATAACATTTATATTTCATTAAAAAGTCATATTTTAGAACACAAAACACTGAAGACAGAATATGGCAATTACCAAGTTTCTCAGAACAGTAAAAATTATGTAAAATCAGGCAGGGGATATAGCTCAGCAGCATAAGTGCCTGCCTAGCAAGGACTTATGGCAAGATCCTGAGTTCAATCCCTGCTACCACAAAAAAAAAAAAAAGAAAAGAAAAGAAAGAATAAAAGGAAAAAAAATTGAAATCAAATTGGATTGGTCTAATTAAGTCAATTTGACTTAAGGCTTTTAACTTCCCATGAAAGGATGTTTAGCTAAAGCAGTTCTTTCAAATAATTAACATGCTTGTATTCTTTATCGTCACTGAGCACCTAGGCCCTGATAGGAACTGAACAAAACATCCTACAAGAACAGTATAGTGAATTAAAGAGTAATTTTAATATTTTTAATGGAAGGGCATATGATAAGCCAAGAGAGCTGCATGTTGATATGGAAAAATTATAACAGGCAAACAGAATACAATGAAAAATGCAGTGCAGTGGGGAGTTATGCTAGAACATATCTAACAGTTGAGTCAAACACATGTGTTTGGAGAAAGATGCAAACTAAGGAGAAAAGTTATTGGGTTTGTGTGAAGCGCTCACATCCTGAGCTACCCAATGTACGAGGCCAAGCCCCTAAAGAAGTTCATATAACATCATTTTTGGGTATGAACACAAGACTCTCAAAATATTTGTAAATTTTAATAACTTTTCTTTCTTAAAAAATGAAGAAAGCAAAAGTCTTTGTAAGTCAAACCAAGAGCTACTGTTATTTCTCTGTGTCACTGGTAGAAACTTGTACATCATTTTAGCAATCTCCCAAGATTACAGTACATATGCTGGCTTCCTCTTAGTATATATAATACACTGAAAAACATAATAGAAGCTTAAGAGTTTGTTTGGCTACAATTAAAGTTAGATAGTATAGCTCAAATGCCTTAAGTCAACATAAATAACTTCCTGGCACAAATTGTATCAAGAAGCAATCAAAATACAAAAGAAAATTTAAGGCTTAAAATCTCTGAGAATTTCTCTGAGGATTACAGTGCCAGCGAAAGATCTGAGCAAAAGAGGATCGAAGTGCTATTTTTAGAGGAGACACTTCACCAGAGGCTGCACAAAGCCTCGCTGAGGCTTTCCATAGAGGCAATTCTGCTGTTAGAGGAGAGAGGGCTGCAGAATAAATCTACTGGCTGGACTTCATCACCCAGATGCAATTCACTGGAATAAACTCTACAGGAAAAGGAAAAGATAGAAGTTGCCTGTGTTTGGGATTGAGCTCAGGATTGTTCCACGCTCTAGTTTCTGCAGCACAAAACAGTCACTCCAAGCTGTCATTCTCTCTGCTTTGTAGAGTCCTGTGGACCATTTGATTAAATAAAGCCATGTGCCGGCTCTGTCCTGGAAATAGAGAAAAGAGCACCACACGTGACTTGCTGTGAACACACAAGCGGTGTCTTTCTGTCCAGTGTCACAGTGTGTGGGTCTCATTTGAAAGGATTAGGTTTTACTCAGGTAATAAAATCCAGGATAACAAAAGGCCGAGGATTATGTGTATACATCAGGAAGAGGATTGGGGTAGTAACCGAGTTCCCTTAGTCATATGTTAAATCTAAATAGATTTTTGGTATTGAATTATTTTGAAAACAGGATCTAGAGTAATAGGATATATCCTATTCTTAGTGATCCAGTTTTCCAGAGAATGAAACTAGTAAAGTTTATTAACTATGATACAAACATAAAGGTATTCTCAATCTGAATGCTGGATTCTATACCTTAGCCTTTTTGATATTAGGTAATAGCTTATCTTGGTGTACAGTTAATTCAAATATACTTTACTGAATAGCATATGCCAGGATTACTAGCTATGTCTAAACCCTGAACAATCCATAACCAGGATATGGTTCATTTAAGTGAGAGGCAAAGCAATTTGAAAAAGCTGTACCCAGTAATTTCTTTGTTGTATCATAAACTTTTTAGACTCTGTTGAAACATAAGATACAGCACAGAAGATCACAGATTAAGAATCAACAATTACAGATTTAAATGTCAGCCCTGCTCCTCTTTAGGCTTTTCTCTTTGGGTGGGATATTTCTTTTCTCTGTGCATTATTTCTTTACCTTAAAGAGAAGTGTTCCATGAAAAACACTGGAATACTACAGCATGTAATAGCTGCTCAATAAATGTGTCTTTCTGTGTGATCTAACTGTTCCTTCAGACTGCCCTAACCCGTCCTTCTCATCGATGTCATTAGGGTCAATGCCTTTCATTTCTTCATGGTACTATTGTTCAGAAGCTCTTTAGCTACAAGGCAAACTTTCGCCTTCACTATGATAATTTCTCTCACAGGTTTCTTGTCCAGCTATTTCTTTCTTAATCCACCACTTGCCTTTCTTGGTTTTAATAGGGAAGAAATCTTTGTGTTGCCTTTTAGACATAGCAAAAGCAGTAAAGAGAAATATTGCCTGGGACAAAACTTTGATATTTCTTTGGAGATATGCCTTCCATCAATTAAGACTTATATATGGGATCACAGTTATAGCTTGTCTCAGTAACACTTACTCTTCTTGGACCACATTCCTTTCCTGACATTGGAAAAATTTTGCAGGCTCAAACTCAAGAAAATTATGTTTTCTGTGATTTGCGATTTCTCTTGCTATTTGTATTCTCTGATATATTTGCTAACAAAACCCAAAACAGTTTATGAAGGATCCATCACTCTATGAACCCTGGGCCACTGCAGCATGACTTTATTTAGTTTTTACTTTTTGGTACTAGAGATCAAACTTGGGACCTTGTGCTTGCCAGGCAGGCACTTATTCCACTAAGCTATATCCTCAGCACTACTTAAAAAGTAAAAATGGCTGGAAACTAGAGGTTATGTTGGTGCTTCTCTTCATTACACTACAAGACATTTTCTGAAAATGGCAGGAGATGGAAATGCATATGTTTTCAAAAACTATTGAAACGTAATTCCAAATGCTGATCAGAATGAGGGGTGGAGGAGAGTGGCCCAAAGCTTTCTCGGCAGCTCTGACCATTCATTTCCATCCAGACGTGCAGCAGGCCTGCCCTTCGTGTCCTGGGCTACTGCAGAGCAGAGCTTCAGAGTCCGTATTATCAAAATGTACAAGTAAGTTCAACAGTTCAGTTTCTCTGTTTCTGATAAACTTGCATGAGCTGTGAATTCTGAAGGCTGACTTATAAGCACTCCCTATCCTAACCTATTTTATAATATGAGGCAAAATCATAATTTTGACTTCTTTTTCAAGAAATAAGTACACTAATTTTCTCTCTTGAAGTGTCAACTAACTCCTTCTAAAATCCTACTAAAGATTTTATTGGATAATTGCTTCCAACTGTGAGATGTATGTTGTTCCCTGGTAATTTGCTGTTCTTTATTAATTCTAAACTTGGAGAATGTTCCTTATGAGAGCGGATCTCAAACTTTGGTGCATGTAAGAATCACACTAGGAATACGTTGTAATAAAAATGTGACAGTACTCCGTAACATCTAGGAAGGTCAGTTCACAAATTTCAACAAATTGACAGCTAAAATCCAGGAACTAATGAGTTCAAAGATTAGCTCTTCTGCACTCTTGGATCTCTACTTTGAAGTTAGGTGTTTCAATTCAACAAGGACTTAGCTAGGTGTGTTACTTTAGAAAAACAAGTACTCATAGTAAGAAGCTAAGCTTATTTAGCAGTATCTTAGATTTGCTTACTATTCTTTGCCCTTCAGGTACTCAACAAGTGTTTTTTATTTGTTTCTTTGTTGGTTGTTTTTTGTACCAATAGTCAAACTCAGGACCCTGCACCTGCCAGGCAGCCACTGTGCTGCTGAGTTACATCCCCAGAGCCAACAAGTGGGATTTTTTTGACTAATTACTAATACTTCAATAAATATGTGTTATTATGATACATTCTATGAGAAAATATTAATAAAGAAAGGTAATACCATAAACTTTTCATAATTATGCCAGTAGGCTCCTACTTCTCTAAATAGCCAGACTAATCTGCTCTTCTCATCAACAAATTTAAAAGCAGCATAAATGACTTCCACACTGCAGAGAGGAAAGTATTGACAATTATTTTAACCAACAATACATAATAGGACCAGGGGAGGCCAATGCACTTGAAAGCCTGGGCCAAGCACACCAAAATCTGTGTCAAAATCATGTGGAGAGCTGATTAAACAGGAAGGCAGGCCCTGCACTGGGCCTCTGATGCCGTTCTGGTGAAAAGGAGCCAAAGAAGCTGAGTTTCTGGCGAGTTCCCAGGTGGCACCGATGCGCCTGCTGTGTGGACCACACATGCGCAAGGTAGCTGAGCAGAGGAAGGGAGTGTTTGAGACAGAGCAGAGTGACCGAGAAGGCTCCTTGGAGAACGTCAAAGTTAGTGGCTTGCAAGGTTTATCTTGTTTAAGCTGTGCAGTTCTGCTCATTACCATCCCTCTAGGGAGGGCCTCAGAACACTGAATTTTAAAAATAAGTGAAATAATGAATGGTGGAGGTTCCCTTTGTCAAGCTAGGTCTTCGGTGTTTATGGGAAGGCTTTCCCACACTGCCTGACCTGCACTGCCACCCATATGCACACACCAAAGAGTGTTCTGAGCACATTTGGGGACCTGGAGCGGTTGAAAAACAGTAAGAAACATTTGAAATCCAATTGTAAAACAATAAGAAAACTTATTGAAAAGTGTTAAGAAACTCAAGTCCCAGTGAGAGAGACAGATATGCCCAAGTCTCAGAGGATTTGCTAGACAGACAGAAGTACAGTCGGCCTTTGGCTGTGAGGTCTGGTGGGGAGCTTGGCTCCCACTCCTCCCACCCCTGTAGGTGTTCCAAGTCCCTTACACTAAATGGCATGATATTTGCATGTAACCTACACACCATCCCCAGTATATTCATCTCTGGGTAACTTACAACCTAATACAATGTAAATGCTGAGTACTTTTGATACTGCATTGCTTAGGGATAATGATAGGGAGAAGTCTTTTTATGTTCAGAATGGAGCAATAAATTTTTCCTCAAACATGTTTAATTCATTGTTGGTTGAATTCTCCCAGGGATATGACAAACTGACTATGTTTAAATTTTTTTTTCTACTATAAATAGCCTAACTTTACATCTTGCACCTTTATCTTGGAATTTCATGTCAACTTTCTATTTTTCATGCTTCTACTAAATATCTAGCTGTTTAATGGCTTTGCATTTACTCACAATTATGCAGTTGCATCCAAAAGAATTCACAACTGAGTTACAAGATTTATTTTAGAAAAGTGCCATTTTAAACAAAAGTAACTGAAGAAAAAAATTAACTTTAAAAATATATGATTAGTATTTTTATCCTTCTTTGTAGCTTTTTTAGACATCATGTTAATATCCATATCTTATCATTTTATGAATAAATATCCCCTTTTGCTTCCTCCTTTGCTTCCCAAGTTGTTTGGGAAATATCCTTCAAGATTACAGAAAGGGACTTCTTACCCATGCATGGCAGAAAGCAAAGATATCATTACACTCCTTTTATTTCTATGAAAGTATGAAAGATCTATGGAGTACATTTGCGTACTCTTTACTCTGTGTCTCCTATTGAGGGGGAGAAGGAGAAGCGAGGGTTTCAGAACCACTACTATTAAAGAAATCAACAGGATTCTCAACTGAAGATGCTGTATAACCCAGATTGTACTTAGTTGTCACTTGTATGTCATGTATGACTTCTAGAAAATATATGGAAAATGGCATTTATATACGTTCTTCAGTGAGCTGCATAAATCAAACCCTGTTTAGATGCGCACTCTTTGCCAAGATAAATATTTCTTCTTGCCACTGTACTGCATGTTTTTCTTCCTTCCCAGTTTGCCACTCCAATTCTTTTTAATAAAAAGTTTGAGTTCCTCAGTTCAGAATTTGATTCTCTAGACTCTTCTTTGAAAGACTGAGCAGCAACAATAGATTCAATCAATCAATCAATCAGTAACGTCTATGGCTGTGTTATATAATTATAAGCAACATGGGCTCTTACACTCTTAGAACAATAACAACAAAAAGATACTGTTAGCTATCAGCCGTTACTACCATCCCAAATATTTAATCTTAAGGCCCTTTGTTCCAACAGGTCCAATATGGAAACCTGGTCCATGGGTAGATCTTACGGAGGCTCAGAGAGGTGTTCCAGGGAGCAGGCAGGCGCTGCGCAAACCCTCTGTTGCCATTCAGATCTCTGCCCATGAGGCTCAGAGAGTGAAGAGTGTGGCAATGATAATGCCCTTTGAGGTGGTAGGGAAATCTGCAGTGTGATTTAGAAAGATTTACTGAGATGCCAAGGACAGGAACTACTGTCCTTTAAAGAATACGGATTTTCCTTGTCACAGCGTATGACTGTTAATGAAGACATATAAGAATGTCAGTGTTACTACGGCATGCAAAAAATGTAGGAAGCCAAAATGGAAATGAAGATCGTGCCCAACAGACTATAACATTATCACATGAATATCGAAGGAGGCAAATAGGGCCAGTCAATAATTAAGGAGTAGAATACTTGAGATGGAGAAAAAGATTAAATTACCTCATGAAATGACTAACTGGGAAGCTATACTTGATGACTAAAAAGGAGTAACAGCTTTATACTATTATTTAGTGCTTGGTTCAGCTTCAAACTCTCTTAATATTTAACTGTTTTCTCTGTTTTATATGCTATGTAGTTAATAGACATCATATAACTTTTCAGGGGACTTGCTAATTTTACAAACTTCTGATTTTGTTCACTGATTTGAATTTTGTGATTGAGAATTGAGCAAAATAGTGATCAGTAAAGAAAATGTTACAAATACCAGAGTGAGAAGTAAATCCAGAAACACACTTGCCTATATAAACCATAAATATGATTCATAAAATGATTGTAAATATTTGTGATACACATTTCAGGCATAAGTAAAATATCTTGGATGGCTATATTGATTTCATTTTGTGTTCTATGATGCTTTGGTAGTTTTTTTACTGAGCTGAAACTTAACTGTCACTTAATATGGCAAAAAGAAAAGTTTTTAAATATCTAAATAGGAGGGCCGGGGAGATGGCTCAGTGGAATAAGCGCTTCCCTGGCAAGCGCAAGGGTCTGAGTTCAATCCCTGGTTCTGAAAAAAAAAAAAAAAAAAAAAAACCTAAATAGAACTTGATACTAATCTTGCAACTAACCACCCCATAAAATCCATTTGTAACATGAAAGAAACTCTCAGAGCCATAAATAATTAAACATTAAATACAGACAGTATAGATGCAGTCTTTGACATTTGCAACACTTAACCATATGTATTTTGGCAGGCCCTTTAACACAAATGCAAATAATCTCTGATATTCTTGAAGCATCTACATCTTATAATTTCAAAAGTTGAAAAGCTAGTCTATATCTAAGCACTCACCTCCTTTATGTAACAAATTTGTCATGAATAATTTCATAACATTACTAATTTTGAAACTAATAAGTAGTTAATATTCTATAAGTTGTTCTTGTTAACTGCCTATTTTTGAAAAAATATATATATAACTGGGGAAAGAATAAGGCCCAATGTGTTTGGATTTAAAACACAGTATTATAATCTGCTGTGTGTAGTGGCACATACCTTTAATCCCAGCTCTTAGGGGGCTGAGGCAGGAGGATCACTGCAAGTTCAGGGACATCTGGGGCTACTTAATGAGCTCAAGCCTAGTCTGGAATACATATGAAGATGCTGTTTCAAAAACAAAATAAATAACAAAAAATAACCCTACCACAAACACACTAATCTAATTCACTTTGTCTTTGCCAAAGTTTCAGAGTCAAAGTTTGCGTCTGTCAGACCAGCACCGAAAGTCACACCTGTGGAGGGGGATCGTCAGCATCACCTTGATCGAAGGGCGAGATCTCAAAGCGATGGATTCCAACGGGCTAAGCGACCCCTACGTGAAGTTCCGGCTTGGGCACCAGAAGTACAAGAGCAAGGTCAGTCTCTGCTTTCTTTCCTGTACTCCTGTCATCCAGGAACTTCTGGGGCTCCTGTCCGCACTCTTCCTGTCCATACAGGTTTGTCAATAGCCCTATTTTTGGAGATGAAAACACTGGAAGTCCTTAAATGCCAGGAAGAACTCTTAAACACCATATCCAAAAACACGCCATATCCAACAATTGCACTGCATTTGCTTGCGAGCTGGGTGACCTTGGGTGAACTACGTAACTGCACTGTGGTTCAACTTATTTATCTATGATGTAGGAACGGTGGCAGGAACTATCTCTCTGCATAGTTCCTGAGAATTTTAAAGAAGAAACAAAAGGAGCCATATCCCAGCAAAAACTAAGAGATTCTATTATAATGCCAGAAGTGCTAGCATCTGTACTATTATTTTTTAAATTATTTAATTTTTTATTTGTACTATTATTTTGTATGCCATGAAACTCACCGGGTCATTTTATTCAACCTAACTTGCACAGATACAGAGTGCACGTTTTTTAATATTTTTAGGAAAGAATGGGTCAAATCTTGCTACCATCATGATCAATGGACTGTACACAACTTACTGTCCCTCCATGCCTCAGTTTCCCTTCTGTAAAAGAAAAATTAAAATGATCCCTATCTATGAGAGTTATTAAAAAGACTGAATGCATACACGTTCTGCAGGTCACTGGTTTGCTGATAGAATACACAGTATGTGGTAACAACAGAGGAAGAGGATGAACAGCCGTAATGACTACATTGTATGCTAATTCTGTCACTATTGATCATATGCTAAGTAACACTATTAGTAGTATAGTATTGGCTAGAAGTAGAAATAATCATTAAAGGTCATAGTAGCCATAAATAAATGGTATACCCAACTCTCCATCTTTCCTAGTTAGCCTTTACAGCTTGAATTCATAGACACCATGGGTCCAGTGATTACTTCCACCCTGAGCTAAAGATCATCTTCTATTTGGAGAATTTCTTTGCCTGAAGTCATCAATTTCACAGATGTTATGTTTTATTTTGGTTTAGTTTTTATTTATATAGCACCAAAGACTGAATCGAGGGTCTTCTAACAGAGCTACATCCACAGCCTTTTGAAAATTTTCTTTTATGTACTTGGAGACAGAGTCTTGTTAAATCACTAAGTTGCCCAGGCTGTGCTTGAACTGGTGGTCCTCCTGCCTTGGCAGCTTGTCTACTCCGCTTCTGGACCAGGAGTTTTCCTCAGGCCCTGGGGTAGCTAGAAATGGTGTGCGGTCACAGCGAGTGCTGCTAGCACATGGTGCGTTTACTTCCTGAGGTGCACTTGGGAAGGGCAGGTTCCATTTCTGACCTGAATGAGGGAAGTCATACGGGGAAGAAAACCCTAGAGGATTTTCTTCCTCTAGGGAATAAACAATTGAAATTAGCCTATCATGGCCACATAAAGAAGCCATACCATGTCCCCAAATGCCATAATAGTTCATCTGATCCCAATTTAAGACATTTAAATTATAACATTCATTTTGTCCCATCTACTTTTTTTTTGACAAGGAGCTTAAATTTTAAAATACTCACTCTATCCAAAAATAGATGTCTCTGACCACATCCTTCTTGTCTTTTCTCAGTTCACACTACTTCTGTACTTTAGTAGGCTTCAGACATTATTTTTGTAGTTTTGTTCTCTAGTCATGAAATATGAATCCCAGCTATAGGCACCCGTCTCTCTGCTCTTTTTCTTCATGATCTATTGCTGATTAATTTCAGATTGTGAACTTTAAAAACTGTGATTCATTTGTACTACCTTTGCACATAACATACTTCATTGTTTCCCAACTCTTTACACCTAAAGAGCTGTCTGTCATTGTTAAAAAGAGAAAATGCCACTGCATAGCCAGCTGCTAAAAAAAAAAAAAAAAAAAAAAGAACAGAAACATATGAGTGTTGTTCAAATGGTGAGTGGAATTTTAAAACACATCAGTACAGGTCACTCTGTTGATTCTACAAGGTATCTTTTCTGAATACTTAAAGTGATAAAATTGCACTTCACATATCATCCTTTTACACTCAACAGGAACATCATACACTGGCTTCTCTGCACATTGAAGGGAACACATCAGCACTACAATTCTAGGGTTAAATTTTGCCTGACCACCCCAAAGCTATTTGCTTTGCTTCCCTGCTCCCATAACATTGTCTGCTTTTCATGTACTCAGGTAAAGATTCCAATGTGTACGAAAGTTAGGAAAAAAAATGTTTAAAAGCCTGGAAATTCTGCTTTTCTTCTATTATAAGATGCCTCCGAGCAATGATCTCGTCTGTCAGTGATGACATAGAATGAAGGCATGAACCTGAGCGAGCTATTTTGTTACAGGCTATTTCCTACTTCTCATCTGCTACGTGAGATAATCGAGGAGTGACTTTTAATTTGAGGTGGTGCATCCTTTATGCTGTATGCAGCAATGAAGTTAGTAGAAGTCTAATGATTCATTTTCACTTATCTGGAAACTTTAGTTCAAAGAGCACAATTAATAAGCTTTTCTCCGATGCTACCTGGATTTTAACTTATCCCATGTTCACTTTTTCAAAAAGATGCAATTGATAAGGCAATGGTGACTTTTATGTTTTCCAGATTATGCCCAAGACTTTAAATCCTCAGTGGAGAGAACAATTTGATTTTCATCTCTATGAAGAAAGAGGAGGAATCATTGATATTACAGCATGGGACAGAGATGCTGGGAAGAGGGATGATTTCATTGGCAGGTTTGTGCACCTGGATATTTTTGGTTTACCCTAGAAAGGATGATTTTTTAATATGTTTTTATTAATTTTATTGAGAAACAAAGAGCAATGAGACAGTTTCAAAACAGATTAGTAGGACAGTTACTATGCAATAATTAATACCTTGTATATTGTTCCTTAAAGTAGTTATTCATAGTACAAGATGCAGGCATGATAACCTGTTCAAACCCTATTAGTACAAATGTTTGTTCTCATTGAATTAAGAGAAATA